AAAAAAAAAAAAAAAAAAAAAAAAAAAAAAAAAAAAAAAAAAAAAAAGAGAAAAGAAAACTAAGAATTGTGATATGTACAACTTTACTCAAATATTGAAAAAACATTTATAGAAAAGTTTATTTCAAGTATTGCGATCGTTTAAGAGACGGACACGCGAATAATCCAAGATAATATCAAAACTTGAACAAGAAACGTAAAATAGAAACCAAAGATTAGGGTTTTCAATTAGTTTAACATTTAAGAGAAAGCAAAAGCGGAAGCAGAAGCAGAACCAGCAATGGCCGAAAAAGTGGAAATCTCACCAGCCACATTTAATAATAATCAGCAACAGCAACAAAATGATGCTCGAAAGGTGCGCAAGTCGCCCGATTTTCAGCCCGTATTACCAGGTGTCATATCCAGAGAGCGCAGTTTTGTGCGCACCTCTAATCAACAGGTTAGCTACACAAACTACAGTTGCAGCTATAATATTTATACAGTTGCATAATCAAACATATTTGTTTGCAGAATATAAACAAACGGCGCAGCTTGGCGTTCAATGTGCCTGGAAATCAGCCTGGACAGATGCGTGGCAAGCCAGCGATGGACATATACAGACCTCCAAGTAAGTGATATCGATGGATCATATATGAATGTATAACGCCTGTAAGCTTAGCTTGCATTACATAATAATAGATATCATCGCATTTCGAATTATTATCATTTGTTAAACTGAAATTTATTACTTATATTTTTTTGTGTTTTATTATTTATATTATAACTATTTTTTTTTTTAATTTCAATACAATACTCAGTCATTTCTTCGCACTCTTTTCTCATCTTTGATTTTCCCGCCAATTTAAATTTGCAGTGTTGATAAACGTCAAGTTTGCTATCGGTCACTCAACCGTTTTAATTTAAATGAGAGTAGACCGACCAAGCTTTCCTTTAATAAAATATTTTTAGGACAAGTAGTTATATACTTTCAAAATGAATATACAAACTATTTCAACTCTGCTAATTTATTGTAACAAGATGCTTCAAAAGCTTTTAAGGCTACTTTAACGTCATCTTTGCGTTTCACACAACCCAAATGCCATAACAACAATATTTATTTTTGTCTATGTTTTCTCTCTTCTTCTTTTCATATATATCTATCTCACAAATAAATCTACCTCCCCTCCCTCCTCGTCCTCCTCCTCCTCCTAAAAAAAATCAAAAACAAACAAAAATCTCATCACATAACTGTAATTATGTTTATTCAATGAACAATGTTTTACGTTGTCAAGATGTACGCGGCGATTTAGCCAGCGATGGTGGTGCCAATGGTGCTGGTGGTGGTGTTGGTGGTGGCGGTGGTAGTGGTGCTGGTGTCTCGAACAAACTGAACGTAAATGCCCAGGAGTTCACAATGACGACCAACTCACGTGCGACGCCACCGGCTGAGGCACTTAACAATAATCGGTAACGCCAACACAATTTTAATGCCAAGCTTTATCCCTCTTGCCGTCTTCTTGCAGAGCTAAACCACAATCTACAACATTCTTCCAGTTCGTCCCTCATCTTTCCCATGGCTGGCGGACCGAGTCTCCTGCAGCAGCAGCAGCAGCAACAACAATATGCAACAGCTGCCAACAATGCGATCCTAAATAGGCGCCAAGCGGGTCTCTCACTGGGCAACATGCCGGCCATGAACAGCCTCAAGGGTGGCCACCATCGTTCCATCTTGGTCACGCATCCGATCAGTCCCATGGGCGGACAGATTCCGCTCATGAATTCGCCATCCAGTGGCAACATACTGCATGTAAATATAAATTATTATCAAAGCGGATTTAATTCGAATACAAACGAACATATATTTAGCTTGGTTAGAAATTCTCCTTGTTCCTCTTTTAATTCGTACACAATTCTCTCTTCGTGTAGTCGGCAAACCGAGTAAAATTTGCTCCGGAGCCCAGAGCTCAGAAGTCGGGACAGCAAACTCAGTACTACAACAATGTACATCAAGCGTATCAAATAAATGGCATGGATCCCTATCTAAATGGCACTGCGCTGCAGCGCTCCAAGTCGCTGTCGTCGGCTGATGCACTGACTCGTGGCATGGCGGGCTTGGGCTTGGGCCTGGGCAACGAGGTGGCCGACATTGGACAATTTACGCCTGAAATACAGCAGCTTATCGAAACGGCTCTGGAGGATCCAAACAAATTGAATTCACGCTGCCTTATGGAGCTCACTTCGCAGTTTATAAAACGCGCCGTTGAGAGTCGACGATTCGCTTTGCCGATCTCACGGCTCTGCTTGAATATTATTGCCAAGGAGCAGAAGGAGACTTTTCTGGAGGCGTTGCTCAACACGTGCCGTCAGTGGTATCAGGAGCGCGAAAAGGTAAGCAATCCTATTGAATTTTCCAGTGCAACTGCAACTGCAAACTCATTTTCATTACTCTCTCCAACAGCTACTGTTTGCCATCCAAGGCATGAAGTCGCCGTCGCGGGTTCGTTTTACGGCTTTCATGGCATTTCTTACGGAAATGTTTTGCCAGCTGAAACGCCGCCAGCTCCAGTTGCGCACCCACAGCGAAGGTACGCCACCACCCTTAGTGCTGCTCAGTTTGCTCTCCAAATGCTGTGAGGATTGTGTGCGACCTCCTGTGCGTTCGCTGTCCGAGGTAAACGCTCCAATATGTTCGATAACAATGAACTAATTCAGTAACCAGTGATCGATTCAGATCAGTTGGTCGTGAACGAAGTTCCTTGCTCAGTTATCGAATCGTTCATGAACAATTTGTTAAATGATCTATTGAGCAGCTTAGGAATCGTTAATTTGAGTTGCGCAAATTAAATATAACAATTCTGCTGCTGAATTGGATTACAAATCGTAAATGAACGTATCAAATTAAACTAAAACCTACAGATTAAAACTTTTTTATTTTGTAGATTGAGTCCTTATTCTATGTGCTGACCTGCATTGGCCAGGATATGGAGCAGCAGCTGCCGCAGCAGTTGGAGCAACTGATGTCCGTGGTGCGCGATGCGTTCCTCAATGCCGGCGATGCTGCGGCTGCCATACGGCGCACCCTGTTGCAGTTGATCGAGCTGAAGGCTTCGCATTGGCAGCTGCCCGGAAACTCGGTGCTCTATTATACCCACACCAATACTTAGTTGGACAAAAGATTGGGAATCGGGCGCAATTTGCAATTGCAATATGTAAACAGACATTATTATTGTGGTCGAATTGCATTTAGGCCCAGTCCTCGTGCAACACGCAACTATTTATCGTACTACAGCAGTACAGCATAGTCCATAAGCAATATTTATTTGTGAAACCGTAGCTAGATGACTAACCCAGGCATTATAATTATATAGTATACGCATATTTATGCAGCTCTCAACTCTTAGGCCGGCAACCGGAAACGGTAATAGTTGACCAAGCTCATTTAACCTTAAACCATCCAGCCCCTCCCCTTCCCATGTCAACCAACCTCTAGTAGAATACTTCATTCTGCTTATATAAGGCTCAATTTATACTATGTGAAATCCATATTATTTATGTGTAATAAACACTACGCTAGTCAAAAACAAAAACTTTTAAAACGTATGAAAAATAAGTAAGTATATTTAAGAAACACAGATTTTCTATAAAAATATAGAAATATGAATGAATATTTGATTGATTATGAGTAACACCTCGTATTTGAGGATCTACTGTGAGATAGAACTGTTGATCAGGCGCTGCAGCTGGACCAAGTCCTGTTGCTTCATCGTGTTCAACCTAATCCCAAACTGATCCCAACAAGGAATCATCATTGTCATCATCATCATCATCATCATGATCGTCGTAGGACAATGCTTGTAATCCTCGTGCTAGGGTAGATGTATCCGATGTATAGCCATCTAGTTCGGTCTCAGAAGTTTCGATATGCTGTTCATTGGTCATCCTACCAAAAGCCAAGTCTGATTTATAGACCCTAACGACCACCGAACTGAAGCCGAAATTGAGTTCGCCGTTAGCAGCCTCTAAAGGTTCCAGTGATTCCTTGTTCAACACCAGAACCACCTGATTCGCGGCTCCTTCGTTCGCCTCCACCTTGACCACTTTCCAATCGTGAGTTGGCAGCTGCGGATTGCATAGTTGAAGCATTTTTAGAATACGTTCGGGCTCCTTTATCGTCGCAGGTATCCAGACTCGAGCTCGCGGCCTACTCGGCACCTCACTCCAATCGACAGCAACCAGCTGAGCTCCAGGATAGACCTCACCAACGCTTGCAACCGCCTTCTTGTATAGCTCCACAGATCGTGGGCTATCGCACGATATGATTTTCACGTTGCCTTGATACCAGCCGACATCCTTGCAGCTAGGTGGTGGGCCCGAATCGGACTCGACGAGCAGCTCAAAGCACTTATCTGCTAAGGCAGCTTCGATCCATTTCCAACATCGTCTCGGAATTCTGCCTTCTGCGTTGCCCCGGTCCAATACGCCGATTAGTATGCTATTCTTGGCGATATCAGCGAGGGATTTGGTTGGCAGCAGCTTGGCTTGTTTAACAGCCGGTCCTGACACCTCTTGTGAATGCTGTCGCTTTGTCTTCTGCGTTTCCTGGCCAAAATTCGGAAACACCGTATTCGCCCATTCAAGTTTCTTCAGCCAGGCAGCCGATGGGTTGGTTATATTGCTAGTCCTTTGATGCTTTAATATACTGCTAGCTTTTCTCTTCTCTTCGTACGTATATCTTATAGTGTGATCGGAATTTCGCCACCGCTCATTAATAAATTCACCTTTCTTTTGTCTCATGGTACCACAATTTACTTCGAGTTTACTAAAAGGCAATTTACCGCTGGGATTTTTCAGAGTATCCGACTGCATATTATTATGAACTTTATTAATTATTAAAATGAGTTTAGTTTACACTATTTATCTTTTTTGTAAAATTTTTTATATTATTTATATTATTATATGATGCTGAGTTTCTCAGACTTTCAGTTTTAAAATGTCCACTCAAACTGTAAGGCGTAATAAAGAACGCAGAGAGACGTACTCTTGTTTATTTTATAAACTTGCTGAGTGTGCAGATCCCATTTCACATTAAACGACGCAGACGCAAAGGCAAACACATTCTACCCAGGCGCATAGAACTGAAAACACATACACATAAGTCGCATCAGGCAATTGGCTTTAAACTTAAACTTTAGTCATTATTACAAAAGCATATGTATACAAATGCATGGCAAATATATCATAATTCTATGAATTGGTAAAATTGAAGTTTTAAAAAACGAAATATGAATTTGAAAGTAACGAGCTGCGTGAACGAGTAAGCATCGATGGACCTTCTGTATAAGATGTATCGATTAATTGCAAACCTATCGATGGTCTCGTAGTGGCTGCAATGGCAATATCTCGTTCATTTGGTTTTTGTCTTCACCCCATAAAGTTGATACAACTACAAGTAAGTCAATATACAAATTTAATGCTTAAAATATGTTGAAACATTTTCAAGAATTAAAATTTAAAAATTATTCTATCATAATTTAAACTGTTAAATGTTCTATAAGTCATAAAATGAACTAGAAAGCAATTAAATAGCATTGCTGGAAGTACGCTTTACCACGTGTTTTTTTTTAAATGGCGTCGGTGCAAACGCATTTCTAGAATTAAAAATGTTTTGAAGTGCTTAAATGATGATTATCTTAATTACCTTTTGCGGTTTCCACCAGAAAGCGTTAATTCGCTTAAAGATGGTCTTAGGTGTCTGATTCAAGCACTCGAAACTAAAAATCGATTTTATGCGTTCGTCGTCCCTAACCTAAAATATACTAATCATGTTTATTTTGTATGGAATTGCAGAATGGCGGACGCAGCTCCAGCCCGTAGTGGATTCCGAGGTGGATTTGGCTCTCGCGGTGGTCGTGGTGGACGTGGTCGTGGTCGTGGACGCGGCGCACGCGGTCGTGGTGGCAAGGAAGACTCCAAGGAATGGGTTCCCGTGACCAAGCTAGGTCGCCTGGTGCGTGAAGGCAAGATCAAGTCTTTGGAGGAGATCTACCTGTACTCGCTTCCCATTAAAGAGTTTGAGATCATCGATTTCTTCCTGGGCTCATCGCTGCGCGACGAGGTCCTCAAGATCATGCCCGTCCAGAAGCAGACGCGTGCTGGTCAGCGCACCCGTTTCAAGGCCTTTGTTGCCATTGGCGACAACAACGGCCACATTGGTCTGGGTGTTAAGTGCAGCAAGGAAGTTGCAACCGCTATCCGTGGTGCCATCATCCTTGCCAAGCTCTCCGTTGTTCCCGTACGCCGTGGCTACTGGGGCAACAAGATCGGCAAGCCCCATACAGTGCCCTGCAAAGTTACTGGCAAGTGCGGCTCCGTTTCGGTGCGTTTGATCCCAGCGCCCCGTGGTACTGGCATTGTGTCGGCTCCTGTGCCCAAGAAGCTGTTGACCATGGCTGGTATCGAGGATTGCTACACCTCCGCCCGTGGCTCCACTGGTACCCTGGGTAACTTCGCCAAGGCTACCTACGCTGCCATTGCCAAGACATACGCTTACCTGACTCCAGACTTGTGGAAGGAAATGCCTCTGGGCGCCACTCCCTACCAGGCATACTCAGACTTCCTGTCTAAGCCAACGGCACGCTTGCACGCTGACGCCTAAGGTCATTGCGAACCAGAGTTTTTGAATAAACGAAAACATTCACACAATTTGCA